AAATATAACTAATGCTTTAACATTATCAGGATTTCATAATAAAAAACTACAGATTCCATCTGAACTCTGTGGAGCCTGATCTCAAGGTTTTTAAGTCCGACCCTGAAACCAGAAGAGGATCTTTCTCTCTCTTCAGATTCATTGTGATCCAGTCCTGCATGAGCAGGCTGATGTTGCACAGAGCAGATAATGAAGTGAAGGTTTTTGCACATTGGTAACAGTGAAACAGTTTATTTACAGCGTGGGATCGTTTGTGTTCAGAGTATGAACTGAGATTCCTGAAGCTCTTATCACACTGGTCACAGCTGAAGTTCACTTCCATGTGTGTACTTTCATGTTTGTTATGATGACCTGATTGTGAGAAGCTTTTGTCACAGTGTCTGCACTTGTATGGTGTCTCTCCTGTGTGGATTCACTTATGCTTGTTCTTTAAGCTCACGTGCAGTGGTGAAGGATGACCCACACTAGTCACATATGTGCTTTTTGATCCCACTGTGAAAGAGTTCATGTATTTTTAATGTACTTGGTGTGTGGAAGCCTCTCCCACATTATTTGCAGTAGTTCATTTTGTCTCCAGTGTGGCTACATTGATGTGGTTTTTGGTCCCGTTGATGATTGGAAGTTTTTCCACAAAGGTCACAGAGAAACTTTCCCACCACCACAGTGACGACAGGGCTGAGAACAGGATCCATCTGTGTTGCTCTGCTTCTAAACAAAGACGGTGTAAGTGATCTCTGCCAATGTCCAATTACATTTTACTGTTTACATTACAACACTCAGCTTACTGGGCGAAAACGACTCTTCATTTTTCCAAACAGTTCATTCAGTATAACTCCATAAGTTTACTGATCTGATTTGTTCCAAATAATCAGGTTAAAATTACAGGATAAAAAAATCAATACATCCTCACAGTAACTGCCCTTGTAGAGTTACTTTCTGGTGTGGATCTGTTGGTGTCTTTTCAGGTGATATGGAATTTTAAAAGTCTTCTCACACAGGTCACATTTGTAAGGTCTCTCCTCAGTGTGGATAAACATGTGTTGTTTTAACTGTGCGTCTGTTGCAAACAGTTTCCCACACTGATCACAGCAGTAAACTTCATTTCCAGTGTGAATCCGTAGGTGACTATTTCGGTTGTGTTTGTCGTTGAAAGTTTTTCCACAAAAGTCACAGCTGTAAGCCTTAATTCCAGAGTGGGCAACTAGATGCCTCTGTAAGTGGGCATTTTGAGCAAAAGCTTTACCACACAAGCCACAGATGTACTCTTTAACTCCACTGTGGATGAGTTGGTGTGTTTTTAAGCATCCAGCCCGTCTAAAAGAATTTCCACACAAGTTACAGCTGTACGGTTTTACTCCACTGTGGATGACATGATGTGACTTTAAGTCTTTAGCTTGGGTAAAAGTCTTTCCACACAAGTCGCAGCTGTATGCTTTAACGCCACTGTGGATGATACGGTGTCTTTGTAAGCCTCCAGCCTGGGTAAAAGACTTTCCACACAAGTCACAGCTGTAAGGTTTAACTCCACTGTGGATGAGTTGGTGCGTCTTCAAGCCTCCAGCCCGTGAAAAAGACTTTCCACACAAGTAACAGCTGTACGATTTAACTCCACTGTGGATGAGTTGGTGTTTTTTTAAGCCTCCAGCCTCGGTAAAAGACTTTCCACACAAGTAACAGTTGTACGCTTTAACTCCACGGTGGATGAGTTGGTGTCTTTTTATGCTTTCAGCCCAGGTAAAATCCTTCCCACACAAGTCACAGCTGTAAGGTTTAACTCCACTGTGGATGAGTTGGTGTAATTTTAAGCTTCCAGTCCGGTTAAAAGACTTTCCACACAAGTCACAACTGTAAGGTTTAAGTCCACTGTGGATGAGTTGGTGTTTTTTTAAGCTTCCCGCCTGAGTAAAAGACTTTCCACACTCACCACAGCTGTAAGGTTTAATTCCACTGTGGATGAGTTGGTGTGTTTTTAGGCTGTCATTCCGGGTAAAATCCTTCCCACACTCATCACAGCTGTAGGTTTTCTCTCCCTTTCTTCTGTGAGGTTTGTCGGCCTCCTGAGAGCACTGTTTTCCCGCCTCATGTTGGTCCTGCAGTGACAGAGATACAAACAGAGGCACTGAGTGAAATGCAGTCGTGGAACAAACTGAAACTCCCTCCATTGGTGGAATCAAACATGTCAACAAACACATTGTTGGTGTGTTACCACCACCTTCTGGTGACAGTATCACATTACAATGATGTGCAATGAGAGTTGTACTGAAAATGACATTATTGAAGAAATATATAAGTGGAGCAAATCTTTTACTTCATAAAATTTTTTGAGTTCAACTGTTGATAATGTTGTTTCAATGTGTGCTGATAAAATATGATCTTTGTATTTTCTTCTAACTTCTGTGGTTTTTGGTTGTGAATGTAGATTCTGTATATATGGAGGAGCCCAGGATGGAAAAGATAAAGCTGCTGTTAACGTGTTTTAACAACCAACCAGCTGTGCACACAGTTTCAATAACAGTGTAACTGTGATATTTTTCTCACCTTCTGTGTTGAAGTCATTGTTTCCTCTGTAGTGGCTGAGCTGAGTCCAAATGGCTGAAATTGTTCCTCTGTTGCTCAAACAAACTCTTCTGCTGTTACTCAGCTGGGACACAAAAAGTATATAGACGTATTTTATCCCTGACAAAAAGAAGCAGAGCAAATAAGCATTACTAAACTCCTCAGTGACAACCGTACCTATAAAGCTTCAAGGTAAAACCCCAGAAGCAACTACAAATAGAAAGTCATCAATTGCATACAAGAACTTGAAAGGTAAAAAGCCACTGACTGTCCTGTATGTCACCACCTTTACCCAGGGGATGCTACACCCTGTATATATGGACTCCCATAGTTCCACAAAGGAGTCCCGCTCAGACTCATCGGTAGCAGTATAAACTCAGCCAACTACTAGCTCCCCTAGAATGGTAATGAGATTTTCAAAAAACATTTCAAAAATCACACAACAGCTGTATGTTAGAATTTATTCAGAAATCTCGCAGTCAGAACATGCTATATCATGCTTAGGTAACTAGCAAAACTAGCAAGCTAACTTCCTGCTAAGTCGTTTACCGCGTTAAATGTAATAAATTCTGTTTTCATGAATGCCTGGATGTTAAACTTCATAGTTACACCTGGTAAAGCACCAATGCTGATCTTTTTATTGAAGATGAAAGAATTTAGACCGTTTTAAACTCACAGTGATGCCACAGTGTTTGTTTAACTTTGGGACCTGAAATGGACGAAGTTTAGGACCCAGATTACTCCCAGATTTGCGAGCACCTTAGTCGGACAAATCCGGCAATAACGATGGCCTGCTTGCATGTTCTGCAAAGAAAATGTGCTTTATTGTGCATCTGACTGACAAACACAAAACCAGTTAAGTTGCACCATTTTTACAAACCAATTCTGATTTATCCGTTTCACTCAACAGTCCGCTTTCCTCCGGTTCTCATTCAACGTTGCTGCCGTGCTTTTTCGGCCATGTGTGTATGAACACAAAGGCACTGTGCATGCGCGTTTTACCGATATTTCATTTTCTTATTGTTGCCTAACAATGTACCGGTATTACTGTGAACGGTATAATATGTCCCAGCCCTACCTTCAAGTTACACACTATGAAAGGCAGCAACAAGTTTAATATTCAGAAACCTAAAGTATGTATCAGCAGCAGAATGGAGCTAAAAATAAATGTTTGTTTCAGTTCTATGAAGCTTTGAGTATTTTGGATTAGTAGTACTGCTGTGTTTGTTGCATCATATTGCTGTAATTGTTTATATGCTTTATATATTCTGAGGTAAGTTGATCTATAGTGTTACCTCATATTCTATAAGGATGTTATGTGTTTGGATACTTTCTGCCCAGTTTGACCCATTTAGCAGAAGTCAGCCTGTTTAAGGCTCTGATATCTATTCTGTATGACTTAAAGCAGTTATGACATGGTCTGATTTTCTCATCCAATAAAGGAATATTTAATATATCAGTCTACTCTTCATTCTATCAGAAACAGTTATCACAGCTCGTACATTTTCTTGTTACACATGTATGTAAGCATTGAGCCAAATTTAGTAATGCCAACAAAAATGAAATGACAATATTTGTATCTTATAAATAATAAATCTATATATACACTGTCAAAAATACTTGTTTTTGAGTGAAGATTTGATGGTGATAGGAAATAAAAATAAATTGAACTTGAAACTTTGCTGAAGCTCAGTTTTTGACAGAGTTCAATTTCACTGCTGTAATAACTAATAGTGTTTACTAGAATAATAACTTTAACATTGGCCATATTATATTTACATTATCAAAGTGAGATGACTTTAGTCTCATGAACAGCATCAGCTAATTGTTAATTACTACCTAATCTTAAAATGACTGTTCAGTACAGAAATGAAGCCCAACAATCATGTTTTTACAGTCCTGTGGTCTCAGCCTCAGACACTCAACAAACCAAACAAAGCTAATATAAAAACAAAGAGATAAACAAAGATTTTCTCCTTCATTTCTGTCAAACAATGATGTATGAAACGTTTCCAGCGGTTAGTATCATGGTTGCTAGGCAATCTGAGCAGCGCCACGGAGGCCAGACCATCTAATAGACTCTGTGCACCTTAGCATATGCTACTTGCGGTGGGGAAACTCCTGTAGGACGCTTTGTTTCCGGTGTGATATTCGCTCCTTGTTTACTGCCTCTTTTTCCAAAACAAGTCAACCAAATGGATGAATCAAGTGGCGATTTACATGCCTCGAGATGTCTTGGGCATTTACGAACTATATATGTAGATGCTGTTCATAGACCTGACGATATTTTTTGTTATTGATATTTAATGTTTTATGACAGAACAGTAGTGATTTTTCCCACCTTCTGCTCTTTATAACTTAATGAGATCTTTCCGTTTTCATGTTTTGGACATGATTTTGGAGTATATCTTCGCAGTAGCGATTGACCGCAAAGTAAAGCTACTGGAGATGCACAACCCTACCTCCAGTCTCCAGACCCACCTAGACCGTGTTCTGAATTGGGATACAGCCTATCCACAGTATTTCT